AAAGAAAGAAAAAGAAAGAGAGAAAAAGAAAGAAGGAAGGAAAGAAGGATGGAAGGAAAGAAGGAAGGAAGGGCCCTTCTCCTCAGAGGCTGAGGGAAGGCAGATGTGTTTTCTACCCTGTGGGTTGGTGTGATGTGCTGGGGGCTCTGAGGAAGGGTGACCATACAGGGCTCCAGAGTTCACAATGTCCTCATTACAGCTTGAGGGGAAGTGTGCTTCAGGAGGCCCAGGGAGGACACCAAAGAAAATCCTGAGAAGCGTTTGTGTAGCTCTCCTCCAGAGCTCTCATTTTGTATCACAGCCCATTCGCTGTCGTCATCAGCAGTAGAAATCCTCATCTAAACGGTGCTCTGTGAGCCAGTGGAAGTAGCATGGACATGGGTGGTCTGGAGGACAAATGGCTCTAAAGTTCTCAGCTTTATCATTTTGGCCTCAACAGAGATTTTTATATGGGATTTTACATTTTACAGATTACTTTTATTCAACTTGAGCCCTTAAGGCAGGAAATGTACTTCTATCTCTATAAAATATTTACTTTGACTGTGTTATGCTTCCGGCCCGACCCTGTCCTCCATGCCCTGAGCTTGCTAGGGTCCCGGCGGCTCCACACAATCAGGGTGAGGTGGGCTTACTTAGCATGTGCTCAGGATGGCCGAGGACACTTACCAACTCCCGTAGTATTTGAATGTGGGTGCTTGGCAGGCCTGGTATCCTGTCCCACACTGTACAAATGGGAATTTGAATAGCCAGAGCAGCCATTAGCTGCCCTAGCTGGGTGCGGGCATCCCCATAGCATGGAGAAGTCCATGCCCTTAGAGGAAGTCAACGTCCTTACGGGAGCTCTCTGAGTATGATATTGGTTGTGTAGGATGACAAGGGGCGTTGTGTTCACTCTCTGGTATAGGTTCACTTTGCTCTGGGATCTCAGGAGACAAGGACAATCTCTAGTTTTGTCGGTGAGTGGAGTCTAGGCAAGTTCTCAAGTCCTCTGTCCCTGGTCACCTTGACCACCTGCCACCTGCTGCTGAGTCAGGCGGTCATTCCGGTTCATTGAAAGGCTCAGGTGAAAAGTGGAGCCACCATCCGCCCCCGGGCGCCAGGCCACCACTCAGCTGCACATCTCACCCGCAGTTGTCCCTCTGTGAGCAAACCCTTTGCGTCCCACAGGAAAGGTGCAGCCATAGGGGGTGCTGAACGTGGAGCCCGCGGTGGCCTCCCACGCAGGGCTGAGGTAGGGACAGAGGTACAGAGACTGAGGACCCTGAACCACCCTGTGCCGAAGTGCTGCTCCTGGCCGCAGAAGCCACAGTGGCCTTCTTGACCCCTTTAACTCTCCGCTCTCCCCACCTCAGAGGAGGAACCTGGAAAATACGCACCCTTCTGTCTCTGATCGATTTCATGTATCAATGTGGTCTGGAGATCCATTTATTTTCCTACAACTGAATCAAACTGTCCCTCTTTACAGCTGAGTAGTGCTTCATTATGTGTACGCATCCCATTTTCTTTAGCTTTCGCCAGGTGTCTCTACTATGAGAAATTCAAAGTATAAATAATTGAAGAGCAA